CCATTGGGGGGTTTGCGGAGTGGTGTGGGGGGGCACCCGGGGTTAGTGGGGTGGGGTGGGAACCTGGGTGTTAGTGGACTGGGTGGGGGGCACCGGGTGTTTGTGGGCTGGTGGGTGGATCCGGTGTTAGTGGACTGGTGTGGGTCCCCCTCGGTGTTAGTGGACTGGGTGGGCACATCCTGGGGGTTAGTGGGTGTTGGGTGGGATCCTGGGTGTTGGGACTGGTGGGTGGCATCCGGGTGTTAGTGGGCGGTGGGGGTCGCATCCCGGGGTTAGTGGACGGTTTTGGGTGGCATCCGGGTGTTAGTGGACTGGTGGGGTGGGCCCCCGGGTGTTGTGGATGGTGTGGGGGGGCATCCGGGGGTTAGTGGGCTGGGGTGGGTCACATCCGGGGGTTAGTGGGCTGGTTTTTTGGGTCAACCTGGGTGTTAGTGGACTGGTTGGGGACATCCTGGGGGTTAGGACTGGTGTGGGTCCATCCCGGTGTTAGGGATGGGTGGGTCAACCTGGGGGTTAGGGCGGTGTGGGGGCACTCCTGGGGGTTAGTGGGCTGGTGTGGGGGCTCCTGGGGGTTAGGGATGGTGTGGGTCGCACCTGGGTTTTGTACTGGTGTGGGTCCATCCTGGGGTTAGGGGTGGTTGGGGGGCATCCTGGGTGTTAGGGGCTGGTGGGGGCATCCTGGTGTTTGTGGACGGTGGGGTGGCATCCCGGGGTTAGGGACTGGGTGGGTGGCACCGGTGTTAGTGGATGGTGTGGGCACATCCTGGGGGTTAGTGGACGGGGTGGTCACATCCTGGGTGTTAGTGGCTGGTTTGGGGGGCACCTGGGTGTTTTTGTGTGGTGTGGGGGATCCTGGGGGTTTGTGGACGGTGTGGGTCGCCCTCCTGGGGGTTAGTGGACTTGTGGGTGGGTCCGGGTGTTAGGGACTGGTGTGGGTGGCATCCCGGGTGTTAGGGACTGGTGGGTGGCTCCGGGGGTTAGTGGGGCGGGTTGGGGCACACCTGGGGGTTGTGGCTGGTGTGGGGTCACATCCGGGTGTTAGTGGACTGGTGTGGGTCACATCCCGGGGGGGTTTTTGGACTGTGTGGGTCAATCCCGGTGTTAGGGGACGGTGTGGGTCACTCCTGGGGGTTAGTGGCGGTGGGGTCACATCCTGGGTTTAGTGGGCTGGGGTGGGGGCGCACCTGGGTGTTAGTGGACGGTGTGGGTCCATCCTGGTGTTAGTGACTGTTGTGGGGCATCCTGGGGGTTAGTGGGCTGGTGGGGCCCCCCATCCTGGGTTGTTAGGGGGCTGGGGGTGGGTCGCATCCTGGGGTTAGCAGTGGTGTGGTGGCATCCTGGGTGTTAGTGGACTGGGTTGGGGTGGGATCCTGGGTGTTAGTGGACTGGGGGTGGGTGGGCCCCGGGTGTTAGTGGACTGGTGGGGTGGCATCCGGGTGTTTTTGGGACTGGTGTGGGTCACATCCCCGGGGGTTTGTGGACTGGTGGGTTTACATCGGGTGTTAGTGGACTGGTGTGGGTGGCAACCGGGTGTTAGTGGACGGTGTGGGTGGCACCTGGGTGTTAGTGGACTGGTGTGGGGCGCACCTGGGGTTATGGACTGGTGTGGGTCACACCTGGGTGTTTTGTGGACTGGGGGGGTCACATCCTGGGGGTTATGGACTGGGTGGGTCGATCCGGTGTTATGGCAGGTGGGTGGCATCCCGGGTGTTAGTGGGCGGTGTGGGTCACACCTGGGTGTTAGTGGAAAGGTGTGGGTCGCATCCCCGGGGGTTAGTGGAGTGGTGTGGGGCATCCTGGGGGTTAGTGGATGGGTGGGTGGCATCCTGGGTGTTATGGACTGGTGTGGGTGGGATCCCGGGGGTTAGGGGGGATGTGTGGGTCACATCCTGGTGTTAGTGGGCTGGGGGGGTGGCAAACCTGGGGGTTAGTGGACTGGTGTGGGGGGCATCCTGGTGTTATGATGGTGTGGGTCAATCCGGTGTTAGTGACTGGGTTTGGGGGGCTCCTGGGTGTTAGTGGCGGTGGGGTGGCATCCTGGGTTTAGTGGACTGGTGGGGGGTCACATCCTGGGGGTTAGTGGGCTGGTGTGGGGGATCCGGGGTTTTGTGGGGCGGTGGGGTCCATCCTGGGGTTAGTGGGCTGGTGTGGGTGGCATCCGGTTTTTAGTGGACTGGGGGTGGGGGGCATCCTGGTGTTTTTGGGCTGGGTGGGTCACACCTGGGTGTTAGTGGATGGGTGGGTGGTGGTGGTGTGGGGGTGGGGGGCTCCCGGGTGTTTTTTTGGTGGGTTGGGACACCCTTTGTGGGGTGGGGGGTTTGGGGGGGGGTGGTGGGGACCCCCCTCCCCGGGGGTTTGTGGATGGTGGGGGCAACCTGGGGTTTTATGGGCCCCCGGGGGGGCCCTGGGGGGACGGTAAAAAACCGGGGTTTAGTCGGGGGGGGGCCCCTGGGTTTTAAGGGGGGGGGGGGGTTGGACGGGGAGGGACGGGGGGCAATCCGGGGGGGGGGGGGGACACCGGGGTAGGGGGGGGTCAATCCCTGGGGGGGGTTTGGGGGGGTTTTGGGGGGGGGGGGTGGGGGAACCCGGGGTTGGGAGGGGGGGGTCCAGGGGGGTGGGTGGGGGGGTTGGGTGGGGGGGTGGGTAATTGGTTTTGGATGGTTGTGGGTTAATGGGGGGGGGAGGGGGGTGGGGTTTGGGGGGGTGGGGGGGTTGGGGGGGGGGGGGGGGGGGGGGGGAAAATTAACCCCTTTTTGGGAAGCCGTTTTTTAGAACACTTTTGGGGGTTATTGAGTGGCACAAAACCCCCCAAAAAAACCCACCCAAAAAAATCCCCCCCGGGGTTGGTGTCCACAGGAAAAAAGAAAAAAAAAACCAAAAACAAAACTAACAAACCCTCACTAAACAAAACACCCAAAAACAACACAATAAATTCCCAAAAAAAAAAATCAAAATTTTCCCAAAAACAACAAGTTTAAAAAAAATAATTAAAAACCCAGGAAGGAATGAAAAAACCATTACAGAAAATTCCCCCATTTATAATCCGGAGGGGCTTTAATTTTAAAAAAAAGGCCCCCTTTGTTGTTTTTTTGCTTTCCTTCGGGGGGGCCCCCCCAAAAAAAAAACAACTTTGTGGCCCCTTCCCCCACCCGCACGAGCCATTTTCCCCCCAACTTTAAGGGTTACTTTTTCCCCCTCAAAATTTTAAAAAATTCTTTACTTATATTTCTTTAAATGGGGACCAAAAAACAAGATTCCTTATATTTTATTGAAACTTTTTGGGGGATTTTAAACCCCAAAAAACCCTTTAAAAAAAATGTATTATTGATTTAAAGGGTGTTTCCCACCGGGTAAAGGGCTGTTTGGGTTTAAAAATTCAAATAAAAAGACGCACAAATTGTTGTGTGTTGGGCTTTAGTTGTTTTTCCCCGGGTTGGTAACGTTAATTGGGGAAAACCCGGGGGGTTGTGTTACCCTCCTGGGGGGTTCTTTGTCCTGTTGAGACGTTTATCCTGGAAGAACTGCAACGGGTTTACTAAGTACACAATAAGACTTAGTACTTTAAAAAAACAAAAAACCCCAGGAAACCCCCGGAGAACACTTTCCCCGGACCTTCTAAATGGATTACAAACAAAAAAAAACAAAAAAACAACAAAACCAACAAAAAAAAAAACCACAGGGACAAAAAAACCCCGGAACACACACCGGAAAAAACGACACTTGTGTTACAAACCAAAAAAAGAAAAAAATCCAGGAGTTTCAAAAAATCTCGACAACTACCAAAAACACACTTTTCTCCATTTAATAAAATTAAATTTTTCCCCAACACAATTACGGAAAATAATTAAACCCGTTTTAAGGTTTACCTACATATCCACGGGAAGGTTCCTGGTAGTTTACAATTTAAAAAAAAGTACCCCTGGTGTTCCCTTCTCGGCCTTTTACACTTAAACCCCAAAAACCCCCACCTTCTACATGGGTTTTTTACAAATCTACAATTTTTGGTTCAAAGCTTCAAAATATACAAAGACGCAACAAAATAGACTTAGCTAGTGTATGAGCTTAGTTGTTTACCCTCCCAGCTGGCTGTGTTAGACGTTACTCAGGGGAATATTACTCTCTTGTTGTGTTACAGCTCCTGGGCTCCGTATTGTGCCTGCTTGATGCTACGTTCATGACCTGCTGAACGTACACTGACTACGGACGTTACTGAACGTACACTAACTACAGACATTACGTACACTGGTAGTTACTACACAGTAACTACGGACATTACATACACTGGTAGTTACTACACTATCTACGGACATTACGTACACTGGTAGTTACTACACTATCTACGGACATTACGTACACTGGTAGTTACTACACTATCTACGGACATTACGTACACTGGTAGTTACTACACTATCTACGGACATTACGTACACTGGTAGTTACTACACTATCTACGGACATTACGTACACTGGTAGTTACTACACTATCTACGGACATTACGTACACTGGTAGTTACTACACTATCTACGGACATTACGTACACTGGTAGTTACTACACTATCTACGGACATTACGTACACTGGTAGTTACTACACTATCTACGGACATTACGTACACTGGTAGTTACTACACTATCTACGGACATTACGTACACTGGTAGTTACTACACTATCTACGGACATTACGTACACTGGTAGTTACTACACTATCTACGGACATTACGTTACATGGTAGTTACTACACTATCTACGGACATTACGTACACTGGTAGTTACTACACTATCTACGGACATTACGTACACTGGTAGTTACTACACTATCTACGGACATTACGTACACTGGTATTTACTACACTATCTACGGACATTACGTACACTGGTAGTTACTACACTATCTACGGACATTACATACACTGGTAGTTACTACACTATCTACGGACATTACGTACACTGGTAGTTACTACACTATCTACGGACATTACGTACACTGGTAGTTACTACACTATCTACGGACATTACGTACACTGGTAGTTACTACACTATCTACGGACATTACGTACACTGGTAGTTACTACACTATCTACGGACATTACGTACACTGGTAGTTACTACACAGTAACTACAGACATTACGTACACTGGTAGTTACTACACAGTAACTACAGACATTACGTACACTGGTAGTTACTACACTATCTACGGACATTACATACACTGGTAGTTACTACACAGTAACTACGGACATTACGTACACTGGTAGTTACTACACTAACTACGGACATTACGTACACTGGTAGTTACTACACTATCTACGGACATTACATACACTGGTAGTTACTACACTATCTACGGACATTACGTACACTGGTAGTTACTACACTAACTACGGACATTACGTACACTGGTAGTTACTACACACTAACTACGGACATAACGCCATACAACATCCACATTTTCTGCACAAACCGTCATATTGCAGTCGGAATTAAGTGCTCAACAAACCGTCGTAGATCCTCCAATCAATAAAGTGCTAAACCTACAAGGGTAGATCCTCCAAACAACACAAACTTCAGCAGCTGCCGTGGCGGAGTGCGAACGTTCTCGTCTTCCCTCCGTTACTCTCCCAGATCTGGGTCAATTTCCGCTAGACTTCAGGAAGCGGGACTCGTGCGTCACGTACCATCACTGTCGTTCAACAACCCCACACCGCCATCCCCATAGCTGACAAATTCCTCCGTTCCCCGAGACACTCGCCCTCATGCACCGCCAACTGGTCTTGCTGCGGTTTAGGGGTGGCATCCATCTCCCCTAATTAGGAATTTTTGTTCCCGTATCCGTTCTTGAACTTCCTGTTTGTATTCTCACGGGAACTTTGTTACCTTCCTGATTCCCACACAGCTTTGGGCACGGCTTCGGATTCGTGTTTCTCTTCTCGTGCTCACCAGACAGAGAAATGCTAACAGATGATGAGTTATCTAGGTAAGACCCTTTAAAACACTCGTTTCCACGTCTAAGTTCATCTTCCTTATAACCTTACCAGACTAAACCCAAATTAATTTCTTCGAGGTTTTGTACCGAATCAAACTCAAGTTCGTGAACTGAGTGTCATCTAATGTATATAGTAATACCTTGGATTGCGTGCAGCCAGGTTGATCAGGCTCTGATCCACCATGAGGCCTGGTCACAGACCGGGCCGCGGGGGCGTTGACCCCCTGAACTCCAGGTATAACGATATATGTTAAAATAAAGTTGTATTGTAAGGTAATTGGTGCTGTTAGGTAAAAGTATATTTGAGAAATTTAGTATAACTTAGTTTCTAACCCTTAAGGGTTTAGCACTTCATTATAATAATAATAATATTATAATCAAAAAGGTCATTATAATAATAGTGCAAATAATTTCTCTCTCCAGGACAATGTTGTATGAACCCTATGGGTTTAGTGCTTAGTTTTGATTGTAATAATAATCTCTCTCCAGGAGCTTTATCAAGCCAACAGCAACATTACGAGGATATAGAGATACATAGTAATATACAGTGGACCCCCGCATAACGATTACCTCCGAATGTGACCAATTATGTAAGTGTATTTATGTAAGTGCGTTTGTACGTGTATGTTTGGGGGTCTGAAAGGAATAATCTACTTCACAATATTCCTTATGGGAATAAATTCGGTCAGTACTGGCACCTGAACATACTTATGGAGTGAAAAAATATCGTTAACCGGGGGTCCACTGTATATGCATCTGGAAAGTACTCGAGGGTCTGGTCCCAAATCTTCACACTTCCATAGCATACTGGAGCGACGGATATGGACGGAAGTGCAAAATAAACCCAGTGAAAAGCAAGGGTGCGGTGGGCACAAGAAGAGAACACTTTATCAACATTCGTCATTCGTGGCTCCAGAAATTATCGAAAGCATTGCTGGAACAAGCGTAGAAGTCTTTAAGGTAAAACCGTACGAGTATCTTCACCAGGTGTCAGGTCAGCCAGGCTGTGATCGATATGTGGGTCAGTGGGCCTCCAGCAGCAACAGCCTGGTTGACCAGGCAAGCACCAGATGAGCCTGACCCATGGCCGGGCTCCGGGAGTAGAAACTCACAAAACTCACCAAAGGTATATCAGAGATAAAGGTGCAGAAGATATGTAATGTTTGTTTAGGCTTGATCAAGCTCCTGGAGAAAATTCTAACAAATACGTACGTGTAACTACAAAAATGGCTTAATAACACATGACTCAAAAAAAGATTTGCTTAAAGCAATTGATAAGAAACATGAATCTGAATTTAATGAAGAGAAGTAGAGTTAGCCGTTGCATGTCTCAAGTAACTGTTTGACATTTTGACGATTGAGTACAATGTCCGTCAGATGTGATAGATATTGTATATATGAGGCCAGAACTATAGGTATGCCATACAGATGTAATTTGTATGTTATTACCATTTAGAACAGCAGTAACTAATCATAGATTTGTAAAACTATTATTATTACATTCATGGGGGAGCAGTAAACCCATAGGGGTCATACAGTGCCTTGAAAAATGGAAGGCATTCAGGCTTGACTCAAGGAGTTGGAGCATTGGCTCAGTTCTCTTGATCAAGAGCCCCTCACCAACATTAAGGAACCTCCTTTGAGGGGTATTATAATGGAGAAGTGCTAAACCCATAGGGCCAAACAGCATCTGGGAAATGAGGAGTAAGATGGTCCTCCCTTTATCTACTCCAATTTAACTGTCAGCCTTCAGCAGCCTTGTCTCTGGATTAAACTTTGGCAATAGACACAGATAAATTGGTTTAAAAAGACACAAACACGGTCGTATTTATTAGAGAATATTTTGGTCCTGGGTCCTTGATCAAGGTCCCAGGACCAAAACATTGTCTAATAAATATGTCTTAATGTTTGCTCACATACCTTTTAAACCAACCCTTTCTGTGAACCCTGCCATTTCTACCCTCATCCTGAAAACAGTTTCAAGGAAGCCTACCAGGGAAAAAAGTACTCGGCCCCGCATTAACCCAGACAAAAACAAAACTTCATTTCTTTGTGTATTATTATTATTATTATAAAGAAAGCGCTAAACTGACAAGGGTATTTCTTTGTGTAGTATACAAAGTGTAGTTTACATGTAATAAAATATTGTTAAGCACAAAGAAAGCCACTAGCATGCATGTGCATCTTAGGCCTCACAAAGCAGCACTGCATGGAGCCGGCTGGTCTGTCACACCAAATATGTACAGCACCAATTTTCTGTACAGTGTGTGTGCATATCTCACATGTTTTAATTTATTGTAGATGAAAGCTAAGGAGCTTATTATCTTCTGTAAAATGTTTTCTTATAATCAAGTCTAAGGGACTGAATACCTTCAAAATATACACATAGCACATTACTATAAATAATCTACCTATCATGGACCAGTAAGCCTACTACAGTGCTCCTCTGTTTATGCTTTTGTGTATATTTCACTATAATATACATTCTTCTCTACTGCTTGCTGTATAGCCCTTGTGGCTTAGCGCTTCTTTTTGATTATAATAATAATAATTCTCTACTGCTTATATATTGTGCTACCACCAGGTAGGATCTGCCAGACTTGAAGAAGCTGCTGTGCAGGTGAAACATTGTCTAAATTTTCCAATTACTGCTATTGTGTATAATCTACAGCTTTTAAGTATTCCCAAACCAATTATATATATTGCAATTTGCAACTAGCTAAAATATTATGGTTCACAAAATCTCAATAATATAATTGCAAACAAACCACAGAACTGGTGGTACTCGAACCCATGGTGAGTGTGTCTTAAAACTCCAGGCCAGTGAGTAAGCAACTGGCCATGGGATCATACCCCACCCATTCTGTGGAGAGAGTGCAATGGACAAGTGAAGTAGCAGCAGCAGCAACACACTCAATAAGAGGCATTCTTGAGCTTCCCCAGCACTCGGGCCTCTGCCCAAAGCTGGGGTGAGGCTTGAAAAGGATCCTGTAGTGCTTGCTGCTTTTGCACCTGACATTGTCTGCTGTTGTACAGCTGCCACATCCTTCGAACCCTGTGTGGGCAAGGTTTGTGGTGGTCCAAGGCCCGTAGCTTCTCCCTCCGATTCCCATGGGGGCGGGGAATAGGGCTAGGCCTGAGGATAATTAGTCTCAGAAGACGAGGAGGTACTTGTACCTTCTCCCATGGGAGACATTGGCTTGAGACACTCCCTCGACAGGGCCGGGCTGGGCGATTATACCAGCAAATCTAGAACAGAACCCATTCTGTCATTTGTTAGCTTAAACATTATTTAACCCTTTGAGGGTTTTCGTCGTACTAGTACGTCTTACGCGTAGGGGTTATTGACGTACTAGTAGTAGGTTGGTAGACAGCAACCACCCAGGGAAGTACTACCGTCCTGCCAGATGACTGTGAAACAAAAACCTGTAACTGTTTTGCATGATGGTAGGATTGCTGGTTTCTTTTTCTGTCTCATAAACACGCTAAGATAACAGGGATATCTTGCTACTCCTACTTACACTTTGGTCACACTTCACAGACACGCACATGCATATATATATATACATACATCTAGGTTTTTCTCCTTTTTCTAAATAGCTCTTGTTTTTTTTTTATTTCTTCTATTGTCCATGGGAAGTGGAAAAGAATCTTTCCTCCGAAGCCATGCGTGTCGTATGAGGCGACAAAAATGCCGGGAGCAAGGGGCTAGTAACCCCTTCTCCTGTATACAATTACTAAAAAAGAGAAGAAGAAAAACTTTAAAACTGGTTTGCTTAAATGTGCGTGGATTAGTGCGGATGACAAGAAACAGATGATTGCTGAGTTATGAATGAAAAGAATTTGGGATGTCCTGGCCCTAAGCGAAACAAAGCTGAAGGGTAGGAGAGTTTCAGTGGGGGAAATAAATGGGATTAAATCTGGAGTATCTGAGAGAGTTAGAGAAAAGGGAAGGGGGTTAGCAGTAATTTTAAATGATCATTTTATGGAAGGAGAAAAGAGAATATGAATGTGTAAATTCAAGAATTATGTGGATTAAAGTAAAGGTTGGATGCGAGAAGTGGTCATAATAAGCGTGTATGCACCTGGAGAAGAGAGGAATGCAGAGGAGAGAGAGAGATTTTGGGGGATGTTAAGTGAATGTATAGGAGCCTTTGGAACCAAGTGAGAGAGTAATTGTGGTAGGGGACTTGAATGCTAAAGTAGGAGAAACTTTTAGAGAGGGTGTGGTAGGTAAGTTGGGGTGCCAAAGGGGTAATGATAATGGGAGCCCTTTGATTGAACTTTGTATAGAAAGGGGTTTAGTTATAGGTAATACATATTTTAAGAAAAAGAGGAAAATAAGTATACACGATATGATGTAGGGCGAAATGACAGTATTGTTGGATTATGTATTGGTAGATAAAAGACCCGTTGAGTAGACTTCAGGATGTACATGTTTATAGAGGGGGCCCCAGATTTTATCAGATCACTTTCTAGTTGTAGCTACACTGAGAGTAAAAGGTAGAAAGGATACAAGGGGAATAGAAGCATCAGGAAGAGAGAGGTGAAGGTTTATAAACTAAAGAGGAGGCAGTTAGGGTAAGATATAAACAGGGCCATTTGGGGGATAGATGGGCTAATTGAGAGCATAGGCAATGGGTCGAAGAGGTATGGGGTAGGTTTAAAAATGTAGTGTTAGAGTGTTCAGCAAAGTTTGTGGGTTTCAGGGAAAATGGGTGCAGGAGGGAAGAGGAGCGATTGGTGGGAAAGATGATGTAAAGAGAGTAGTAAGGGAGAAAAAGTTGCATATGAGAAGTTTTTTACAAAGTAGAAGTGAGCAAGGGGAAAGTATTTGGAGAAAAAGAGAGAAAGTTAAGAGAGTGGGGAAGCAATGTAAAAAGAGGGGCAAATAGGAGAGTGGGGGAGATGTTATCAACAAATTTGTTGAAAATAAGAAAAGTTTGGAGTGAGATTAACAAGTTAAGAAAGCCTAGAGAACAAAGGATTTGTCATTAAAAATAGGAGAGGAGAGTTATTAAATGGAGAGTTAGAGGTAATTTGGGGAAAATGGAAGGGAAAATTTGAGGAATTGTTAAATGTTTTATGAAGATAGGGAAACTGTGATTTCGTGTATAGGGCAAGGAGGAATAACATCTTTAGGAGTGAGGAAGAGCCAGTTGTGAGTGTGGGGAAGTTCGTGAGGCAGTAGGTAAAATGAAAGGGGTAAGGCAGCCGGGATTGATGGGATAAAGATAGAAATGTTAAAAGCAGGTGGGGATATAGTTTTGGAGTGGTTGGTGCAATTATTTAATAAATGTATGGAAGAGGGTAAGGTACCTAGGGATTGGCAGAGAGCATGCATAGTTCCTTTGTATAAAGGCAAAGGGGATAAAAGAGAGTGCAAAAATTATAGGGGATAAGTCTGTTGAGTGTACCTGGTAAAGTGTATGGTAGAGTTATAATTGAAAGAATTAAGAGTAAGACGGAGAATAGGATAGCAGATGAACAAGGAGGCTTTAGGAAAGGTAGGGGGTGTGTGGACCAGGTGTTTACAGTGAAACATATAAGTGAACAGTATTTAGATAAGGCTAAAGAGGTCTTTGTGGCATTTATGGATTTGGAAAAGGCGTATGACAGGGTGGATAGGGGGGCAATGTGGCAGATGTTTGCAAGTGTATGGTGTAGGAGGTAGGTTACTGAAAGCAGTGAAGAGTTTTTACGAGGATAGTGAGGCTCAAGTTAGAGTATGTAGGAAAGAGGGAAATTTTTTCCCAGTAAAAGTAGGCCTTAGACAAGGATGTGTGATGTCACCTTGGTTGTTTAATATATTTATAGATGGGGTTGTAAGAGAAGTAAATGCGAGGGTCTTGGCAAGAGGCGTGGAGTTAAAAGATAAAGAATCACACACAAAGTGGGAGTTGTCACAGCTGCTCTTTGCTGATGACACTGTGCTCTTGGGAGATTCTGAAGAGAAGTTGCAGAGATTGGTGGATGAATTTGTAGGTGTGCAAAGAAGAAAATAAAAGGTGAATACAGGAAAAGAGTAAGGTTATGAGGATAACAAAAAGATTAGGTGATGAAAGATTGAATATCAGATTGGAGGGAGAGAGTATGAGGAGGTGAACGTAATTCCGATATTTGGGAGGGGAACGGTCAGCGGATGGGTCTATGAAAGATGAGGGAATCATAGAATTGATGAGGGAAAAGAGTGAGTGGTGCACTAGGAGTCTGTGGAGACAAAGAACTTTGTCCTTGGAGGCAAAGAGGGGAATGTATGAGAGTTATAGTTTTACCAACGCTCTTATATGGGTGTGAACGTGGGGATGAATGTTGCAGCGAGGAGAAGGCTGGAGGCAGTGGAGATGTCATGTCTGAGGCAATGTGTGGTGTGAATATAATGCAGAGAATTCGTAGTTTGGAAGTTAGGAGGAGGTGCGGGATTACCAAAACTGTTGTCCAGAGGGCTGAGGAAGGGTTGTTGAGGTGGTTCGGACATGTAGAGAGAATGGAGCGAAACAGAATGACTTCAAGAGTGTATCAGTCTGTAGTGGAAGGAAGGCGGGTAGGGGTCGGCCTAGGAAGGGTTGGAGGGAGGGGGTAAAGGAGGTTTTGTGTGCGAGGGGCTTGGACTTCCAGCAGGCATGCGTGAGCGTGTTTGATAGGAGTGAATGGAGACAAATGGTTTTTAATACTTGACGTGCTGTTGGAGTGTGAGCAAAGTAACATTTATGAAGGGATTCAGGGAAACCGGCAGGCCGGACTTGAGTCCTGGAGATGGGAAGTACAGTGCCTGCACTCTGAAGGAGGGGTGTTAATGTTGCAGTTTAAAAACTGTAGTGTAAAGCACCCTTCTGGCAAGACAGTGATGGAGTGAATGATGGTGAAAGTTTTTCTTTTTCGGGCCACCCTGCCTTGGTGGGAATCGGCCGGTGTGATAATAAATAAAAAAAATAAATAGTACTCATAAATTCTAGCGGCCTCAAATCTAGTGGGAGAAAGCTGGTAGGCCTTCATATGAAAGAATGGGTCTATGTGGTCAGTGTGCACAGTCTAAAAAAAATCCTGCAGCACACAGTGCATAATGAGAAAAAAAAAACTTTGACCATTTTTTTTGAATAAATCAGCGACTTTGCAGTGTATTTTCGTATGGTATTTATTGTTGTATTCTAGTTTTCTTGGTCTCATTTTATAGAATGGAAGACATACTACAGAAATTGAGATGATTTTGACTGGTTTTACAAAGAAAGGTGCCTTGAAATTGAGCTCAAAGTAGCAGAAATGTTCGATTTTTACCAAACTTCAAAAGTAAACAAATCGTGCCAAGCGTGCAATACACGTCAACTGGTGAGTCTATATTCTTTCACAAGTGCACCAATATATTTATACCATTTTTTACACTAATGCAGTAGTCTGCATAACAGTAAATCTTATATTTTTTGTGAAAATAAAAAATTCAAAGTGGAAAGCAAAAAAAATATAAGAGGGGCCTTGAGACATGACTAATGACTAGAGGAAATGTCATTTTAGTGCCAGGAATGTCTTTCTTGTTTATTCTGGACCCTATTCGGAAATTGGCATCTTTTGAAATTTGTGTGAAATTGGCAAAATTGCTAAATTCTGACCACTGTACTGGATAGTAGAATTTCATAAATGAGTGGTTTCTTGCACCCATTCGATAGAAAAAAAAGGAGTTCTATCGAAATATTCATGTTTTTTGTCGACTAGTACAGTGAAATTGGCCGAAAATGGGGCTCAAAGTGGGCAAAATCGCCGATGTGTAAACATCGCCGAGACCGCTAACTTTGCAAGAGCATAATTCCGTAAGTTTTCTATCAAATTTCAAACTTTTGGTGTCTTTATGATCGGGAAAAGATTCTCTATCTTTTCATAAGAGAAAATAATTTTTTTTTTTTTAAATTTGGCCGACCCTGAGAACGAGTTTCGGAGAGGGCCTGTCGACCCTCAAAGGGTTAAAGGTGTCCAAATAAAATATATAATAAATTGATGTAAATTCTAAAATGTTGCTGATAAGAGAATTTTAATAATTTTTTTCCTTTTTTCATCTAATACTACCCCTACCCCCTCTAATTTAAATTTTGAGTTAGTGATACTTTTTTTTTTCTTCCCCAAACCATTTCTTTATGCAGTGCTGTATAACCCTTGTGGGTTTAGTGCTTAGCTTTGATGATAATTTATTCTTCATGGAGAAGTGAAAAAGAATTATTCCTCTGTAAGCCATGCATGTCGTAAGAGGCAACTAAAATGCCCGGAGCAAGGGGCTGGTAACCCCTTCTGTATAAATTATTAAATAGAAAAAGATTTTTGCTCTTCTTTTTGGATCACCTTAGTTATTACATGTCATAAAAAGGAACTAGGAGTGCTGAGAAATTATTGGTTACCCCTGTTTTTCTGCATGTTTTTCCCTCTTGAGAAAAACATGTGGGTTGCTCTGCCATGGTAGGAAATGGCTAATGCATTATAAACATTATTAATAACATGTATTACTTAAAACATTTGCACTAATCCATTACAATGCCCATTCTAGGTTGGCTGAACAGGCAATACTGAAGGAAGCCAAAAGAGGTGCTCAGAGAGCAGAGATCTCGGGTCCATCTGGATGGCTTAAATGCAGACTACCTTCCACAAACAAGACTTTCCTTCACAATACTCTTGTTGGTATGTTAGTCATGTAATATGCACACAAATAACCCCACATATAGGAGAAAGACACTTAAGACGACGCTTCGGTCCACATCGGACCAAAACATTGTCGTAAGTTTTTCTCCAATGTGCAGGTTATTTGTATATTGTTCCAGCCATGGTATTGTGCTTTTTTATTCTTCATGTAATATGTAATTAATGATGAACACTGTTGTTTATTTAGCTTTGTATCTTCTTATCATTTTGGGGAATAAAACCTTGTAATTTTAATTAAAGCATAAGATGGTAGTGTATACAATAATATTCATCATCTGGTACTGAATCTGTAATGTTAAATTCATGACAAATATGTACATATATTAGTGGATTACAGTAAAAGTGAATTTGATACCGTAATTATTACCTGACTTAAAAAGTATTACATTTAAAATGTATAAAAGTAATGAATCAGCATTTTCGATCAAGATTATAACTTCATTTGACTTTACAGATTATGTCTTCTCGTTTTATATTTTAAAAGAAATTATAGATACTAAATTGTTGCAAAACCTGGAATAGGATACCGACACATGGTTAGCCCCTTGACTGTCGCAACCCCCAATCCTGCGGTGTCTCCTGGTGTCGCAAAATTTCAAAATAAAAACAAAATTATTTTTTCTTATGAAATGATAGAGAATCTTTTCCCGATTGTAATGATACCACAAAAACAAAATTTGATGGAAAACTGATGGAATTACACTCTTGCAAAGTTAGCGACCTCGGCAATATTTACAAATCGGCGATTTCGCCCAATTTGAGCCCTATTTTCAGCTAATTCCATTGTTCAAGTCGACCAAACTCATAGCTATTTCTTTAGAACTCCATTTTTTCTATCGAGTGAGTACAAGAAACTGCCCATTTACCAATTTCAACTACCCAATAACGTGGTCAGAAATTTGCAATTTGGCCAATTTCACGAAAATTAAAAAATATGACAATTTCAAAATAAGGTCTAGAATGAACAGTGCAGACATTCCTGGCTCTAAAATAACATTTTCTTTGTTCATCAGTCACGTCTCCAGGCCCCTTCGATGTTACTCTTGCTCTCTATTTTGAATTTTTAAATAGAAGATTTACTGTTATGCAGACTACTGCAATATTGTAATAATTGTATAAATAATGACCGCATATTAGAATGGCTAGTTGGACATTTATTGGACAATGACATCATTTGTTTACTTTTGAACATCAGCAAAAATCAAACATTTCCCCTATTTTGAGCTCCATTTCCAGGTTCTTTTTATAGTAAAATCAGTCAAAATCACCTCTATTTCTATAATATGTTTTCCATTCTATCAATTGAGACCAAGAAAACGAGAATACAACCATAAATACTATACGAAAATAGACCACGAAGTTGGCATTTTAATAAAAAAACGGTCGGAGTTTTTTTTTTCTCATTATGCACTGCGTGCTCCAGGATTTTTTTTATATGGTGCACACTGACCACACAGACCCATTCTCTCATATGTGGGCCTACGAGCTTTCTCCTGCTTGATTTGAAGCCGCTAGAATTTATGAGTATATATACGTCAAACACGGTTCCTCGTAAGACGTATATATACGACCAAAGCAGTCAAAGGGTTAAAGACACATGTTTGTTAATGTGTCAATGTACTAAATTGTATTTTTCTTTGAACCCATTAATATATGTCACCTACAATATATTGCAACCCCTTATAGTACTGTTTTCCCCCCTCAAAATATGTTTGTTGATGCTGGTGAAAAGCTCTTGATGCAAGGATTGGATAGGTTGAGGCAGTGATCGAAGAAGTGCAAGATGCAGTTTAATGTAAACAAATGTAAAGTTCGAAGCCTGGGAAAAAGAGAATAACCACAGCATTTGTAAACTTAATAATGTAGATCTCAATCACTCCAAATGCAAAAAAAAATTAGGAGTTCTGGTTAATAGTAATCCAAAGTCAAGACAACAGTGCATAAAGCTAATAAAGCTAATAGAATTAATGGCTTTATATCAAGAAGTATAAATAATGACAGTCCTCCAGTTATACTTCAACTCTATAATTCATTGGTTAGGCCTAATTTAAATTATGCTGTGCAGCTCTGGTCACCATATTACAGAATGGACATAAATGTGCTGAAAAACATAGAGAGAGAATGACAAAGCTGATCCCATGTATCAGAAATCTTCCTACAAGGATAGACTGAGGGTACTGAATGTGCACTCTCTAAAAAGGGGGATATGATTGAAGCAGGGGTGTTAATGTTGCAGTTTTATAAACTAGTGTAAAGCAGCCTTCTGGCAAGACAGTCATGAGTGAATGATTATGAAAGTTTTTCTTTTTTGGGCCATCCTGCCTTGGTGGGAATTGACCGATGTGTTACTTAAAAAAAAAGATTTAGGTGTATAAATGAAAGACAGGCATAAATAAACGGGAAATAAATAACATGCTAAAAATATCAAACCAAGACAGGACTTGCAGTAATGTGTTCAAGTTGGAAAAAATTATATTCAGAAAGGATATAGGAAAACATTGGTTTGGTACAAGAGTTGTGGATGAGTGGAACACACTCAAGTATCACCATTGAAGCAAAAACCTTGGGAACCTTTAAATATAGGTTAGACAAATACATAAGTGGATGTGAGTTGAGCATGCCTAACATGGGCCAATATGCCTGCTACAATGCTCCTCCTTTCTTATACTATTCTTAAAACTGTTGTCCATGGTTTAGCTTCAATGATAAAATATTTGACTGACAGTCAAGGCTAAATTAAGGAGCAAGCCAGCCAGGCAGTTGCCTGGGACACTGACTTATAAGGGTCACCAAAAACATGAAAGCCAGAAAAAAAATTTTTTAACCCTTAAACGGTCCAAACAGATCGACGTTCAAATTCGTATTGCTACAAAAGTAGATCTACTTTTTTTACATATTTTCAAATATAACAAAAAAAAATGTAGATAAAAGTTTTTTTTACACGTTTTCAAATGTAAAACAAAAAAGAATATTTACATTTTTTTACATACTTTCGGATGTTGAAAAAACGTATACATACGTTTGGACCGTTTGAGGGTTAAAATACTTGTAGAATATGTACCTTTATTTCAGCATAATTTACTGTTCAGAAGTTTTCTGCAAGATCAGTATTTTTTTTCTAATTGCAGGAACTTTGGCTGCCAACCGTGCTAAAGAGAAGCAAGATAGAAACCGCATTGAAGACGGGAAACGCAAACGACAAATGGAGGAGAAGGAAAAAAATACATACAAGAGGCTGTATATTCGCTCAAGTACAAAAGCAAAGACTAGCCTGCCAGTCAAAAATGGAGAATCCTCTGTAGAGGGTTATAAAATTTGCAAAAAGGATTGCAAAAAGACAAATGTTCAAAGTGACAAGATCATAATGTGGAATGAAACAGGTCTAGAACTGAAAAACTGTAATAATCAATTAACTCTTGGAAAGAAATCGAACTTGCTTAATAAAAAGGGCATTAAGAAAAATAATTCAAATTTATTGCAAAGAAGTATAAATTTTATATCTAGCTCTAATCAAGATAACATTGACTGAAAAAAAATAGTATTTCTTTATTACTGTATAAGAGTTTTATTAACTGTTCTAATACAATACGTATTTTGTATTTTATGTATTAAGGACTATGTTGATAAAATTTTCTAAATGTATTTTGTCTAACTTATTTGTATACATGTTTACCAACATTTAAACCCATTTAATGTTATTAGCCAATAGAAACACTCCCATGGGATAGCAAAAGGAAGGATTCCTTATTCTGTGGTTGTTCACCTTGGTTTAACTACTCAAACCAGTGACATTTGCTGGTCTCACTATTTTCTCCACTATCCTTATAATAAATAATATTTTTTCATGGTTAGGAAACACGATGCATTTCCCAGTGTGGGTCTTTGTCATGTGACCCACAATTTTTTTCATGTTTTTTTTTTGCTTGTTCTTACCAAGGATGGTCTTCAGTCTTCTTATTGTTTTCACATTAATAACTAAACCAACATGTGCTGTAATTCTTTAAACGGTTCTCATGTTTTTTTACTACCAAGCAGTTAGTGTTTGGGATTCTTCAGGGAATGGCATCTTCAGCCTGTGAAACATTTGTTTAAGATTCATGACAACTGTGAGGTCACCAGGTTTAGTCCTTGATGAAGGACTCATGATCCAAGGAACTGGAACTACCCTCCCATTGGATCAAACTTTATAGCCCCATTTTCAAGGTGCTGTTCAACTAATAGCTGTGTGTTCTCCCCAAGAATGTTACTTGCCAGGCTGAGGCCATATTGCTGAAAGTTGTGTCCCTTCCCTAACAGTGTTATGGTGCTTCATTAAGCTGATTATCATGAAAACTAAGTGTTTAACCCACAAGGGTCATACAGTGCTGCTTCATGAAGCTGAAATATTGCTAGAAACACCCACAGTAATAGTTCAAATTACACTTGTTGCCATTTGTTTTTGGAATTTTGGTTTGTGCCTTGGTTTAAATACCCATGAAAGTGAGCAGCTCCTGATTCAAGGAATTGGACTTATCTTCCCTTATTTTACCTTCTGTTTCCTAGGCATTATATAACCACTTTGGGTTTAGCCCTTCCTCTCTGATTACAGTAAATAAAATAAAATATAAATGAACTGAAAATTTTGGTAATTTTAGTTACAGTACTCGAGAATTAAATGCAGTATCATAAATCTCGGTTAATTCTACTTATGGGTTCAGCACGTCCTAAATTAAAACTACAGCAGTTGAATGACTGATTGTGAATATGTTTCGTATTTTTTTTTTTTGGGGTTGCCCTACCTTTATGGGAGACAGCCGGTGTATTAAAAAAAAAAATAACATGGGCAACATGTATAATCATTAAATACTAGAAAGCAGAGAGAGCAAATAATAGCTACAGTATTATTCTGAAAACTGCAATCAGTTGTAGATTGTATAGGGAGAAGTGCGCTGGAAACTGACCCAGCAACCTCATGCAAGACCATCCATACAAATTAGGCCATAGTATATGAAATGTAAATCTGATACTGTTCTTAGACATAGATTATGAAGGCCCCACTAATCTAAATGACACCAGACAGACTTCCTGGATATACACCACAGATTTTTTTTTTAAACACATTGGTGTTTTCCACCAAGGTTTGGTGGCCAAAAAAAAAGAAGAAATACTTCAACCATCATTCACTCCATCACTGTAAATCATAAAAACCACTTGCCTCCACTCACTCCCATCTAACACACACTCATACACTTGCTGGACATCCATAAAATTAGATTTTCACCCTTGTAATAAAGTTGGTAGAATTACCAACAATATGTAAAGTAAAAGGACACAAGTGCAACTAATGTGACATTTTTATTGTGGCAACGTTTCACTCTCCAGGAGCTTGACAAATTCCTGGAGAGCGAAACGTTACCACAATAAATGTCCATGTATGCACTTGTGTCCTTTTACTTTACAGTTCAACCTTGGAAATCAACAAATATATAAAACAGAAATCGTTATTACACAATTTGCTGTTCATGACATAGTGGAATTTCTATTCAGTCAAATTCAATAACAGCAGGAAATATATAAAATGTCAGAACCATTTTCTTATCTATACCGCTTTCAGTTATCATAAACACAGTAGTGGGACTATTGGCTAAACTACCACATCTCCCCTTCCCAAACAAATGCATAAATGTCTTCCTAATTTGGTCAATTACTGGCTAATTTCATTATATATCGAGCAAACAGTAAAAAGCCATAGTTGAGAAATTCCAGTACATACTGAAAAGAATGTTTTATTAAAGATTATTTCTTTTGATTTTTGAATGCCCCCACAATCCTTACAGAAATCCTGGGTAAAGCCATAGGGGAACAATAAAACCCATAGGGACAATCCAATACATTGGGAATGGGAAGTTAATTAGGTTCAATCCAAGAAGAGGATAGGTGCATTACCTTGGATCAAGAGCCCATCACCAGCATCAAGATATCTTTGAGGGGTGGGAGGATGTTATCTCTTTCAAGGTAACATTTTGTGAGCAGTCTCTTATTTTCCTGCTGTACGCATAAAATATTTAGCATTGCATGACTCGTCTTGCTAAGAGTATCTTGATCATTTTAAAGTGGCTTCAGTAACCCTGAACTTGTTAATATAATGGAAATTATTTAGATCATGTTAAATATGCTGATAAATAACAATTGGTTACACTTACCTCTATAGAATATTGAAGCCAGAAAGACAGTGCTTGTCCCTTCAAAATTGATTTATGATTATCTGTGTGTGTTTGCAAAGAGCTAAGCTCCAGCTCTTGGTCTTCCTGTTAACTTTATATGGACTGACATGAATAGGTCTACTTCTGAACCCCTGTATGCAGCTCACTTTCACTCATTTTTTCACTTTATTCTTCTTACTTTCCATTTTTTTTTTTTTAGGCACATGGATTGCAATATCACACTAAGGAAGGGGACCTATAGAAACACACTTTCCTCATATCATCATTCATTATACCTTGCCAGATAATATGCAAAATCACAGTCAATAACTGTACAGAATATCCTTACCTTTCCTTCAGCTGTATAGTCCTTGTGGCTTAGCGCTTCTTTTTGATTATAATAATAATAATCACCTTTCCTTCAGTGTATGCACTGCATTTCCCACCTCCAACTAATCCTTTTCCTATGATTTCCTTCATAAATGTTGCTGTGCTCACACTGAACAGCACAGCAAGCCTCTACTCACAGTTGCCTCTACTCACAGTTGCCTCTGCTCACAGTTGCCTCTACTCAATCCAATCTAACATGCTCACACTAGCCTATGTTGTGCATTCAAATCACACATTCAAGCTTCAGTATTTTCGTACATTTCCCTTTTTGCCACCACTGAAAAACTTTCTTTCCATGGATGCCTTGACACACAATACATACCCCATTCCCCTTGTCACTTCTGTAAGTCATCTTGTTAAAAAAAAAAAAAACACACATTTGCCAAGATATTCACTTCACAATGTATAAATATGGTACATTCACTTCCTCCATACCCCCTTTCTCTTATTTAATGTCCAGTCTTTCATTGGTTAGACATTCCCTTGCTCTTTTCTGTGTTCACTTTTGATTTCCTTTTACATGCCCTTCCAAACTCCTTAAACAACCTCTGCAGCTTTTCTTCAGCCTCTCAAAAGTAGTGTTATCAGCATAGAGCAACACTAACAGATTCTTTATCTTTGAAAAACAATGCCTCTTTCCACAACTAGTATTTACTTCTTTTATAACCCCATCTATATGTATTAAACAACCATAATGATATCATAGTTCCCTAACTACAAGCAACTTTTCCTGGAAAATACAGGAGATTCCATTGCTACTACATTCCCTAACCAAAGCTGCATTCTCATAAAAACTCATTACTCTACTTTTAATAACCTTCCAGTTACCACTGTTACATGGAAGACGTTCTTCCTAATATCCCTGTAACTCATTTGGGTAATATCCAACAATGCCTCTCATTCTTGTTTGATCTCTAGTATAGACTATCCTTGTCTACCCTCTCCCTAACACTTCGTCCCAAACTTGTGGAATCAAGTGGTGAAACGGTCCAAGGCATCAACCAAGTAATAGGAGCAAGCATTTGAATCCTTTACGCTGGCTCATAATAAAGTACTTTATACCATACCTCTTTGTCCCTACAGTGACATAAAGCATAATTCTCACAGTCTTTCTCTGTTGCTTATTGCCCTAAGCTTCAGCACCAGTCGTCGTGCTATCTTTTGTACTTAAATTTCATTTTTTCTTTTTTTTTTTCTACTGAGGGTTCCACTGACACTACTCAAGAATGGGTGGCACATATGAAGTAAAAGGTGTTTTGAATCTGAATGAGCCTTCGTTAGGATCCTGAATGTCACTTACATTTGCAAGTGTAGATTGTGCAGTTGTTATTTTGTTTATATGCAGCTTAGGAGACAGCTTTGATGTATTGGCATTGTATGAGTTACATGGCTTTAGTACATTGTTGTGAATACAGGAGGGCCCCCACTTATACAGCAGGGCTAACACTGTAAAGCAAAAATAGCTGTTAAGTGAATCAGCCTCTAACTTTCAAATGCATACAAAAGTCTGATAACATGTTTACACTATCATATATTGAGCAATAGAACTAGGCCTAAAAGATGTATATACAGCACACACATTACTTATCTTAAAATTTTTCATCCTTAGTTCATAGCAAAAGGTGAATATATTTATTGTAGGAAGACTGAATAAATATTGAACAGGTATAATTGAGGGGGTAGTGGCTATCGCATAGGACTTTTTTTTTTTTTTTTTTTTTACCTAATTCTATTTGCATGTGCTTCCCCTTTCCCCTCAGATACTCCGCTTTGGTGTTCCTTTCCCATCTTTTTAGCTTTTTTTTTTTTAACCTTGCTTTAGCCAGGGTCACTTCCAAGTAACTATCATGAAATCTGTCCAGGTGTTTTTTACAACCTCCCTTCATCCTCATCAATTTACTCTCTCAATATTTTGGTGTTTTAATTGTTTACTGAATGCTCTTTGGGTCAAATCAGAATCACCTGCAGAAATGTCTTATTGCAAAACACACCTAACATTTTTAGGGGCTAGTAACCCCTTCTCCTGTATATTTTACTAAATTTAAAAAAGAGAAACTTTTGTTTTTCTTTTTGGATCACCCTGCCTTGGTGGGATGTGGCCAATTTCTTGAAAGAAGAACTAGCATTTTCCTATATATATTTTTATAAAACTACGAATGATTAAACACATTAAGCACTAAATTTTTGTTTTGAAATGTAATTTTAACCCTTAAACTGTCCAAACGTAGATCTACGTTCACGTTCGTAGCGCTCCGAATGTAGATCTACCTTTTTTTTTTTTTACATTTGAAAGCATATAAAATAAAACGTAGATCTACATTCGGAACGCTACGCACATGAACGTAGAGCTACGTTTGGACAATTTAAGGGTTAAGCACAGTAATAAGTACATGTGTACAGTTAGCAGTCAAGACAGAAATTATTTCCTCCTGTGAAGCAATCTTTGTCCAGTTTAAAGAGGATAATTATTTGGATAGATTGTGAATAAATGTAGGATTGTTTGTGCACCAATAACAGTTATATGAATCACAAATAGTAAGCTATTGTTCATGGTGTGACTGTATTGCAAATGCAATTGAAAAAGTGCATCCAAAATTAAATAGTATATATTATGAAGGCCTTTCCACATATTCTATTTAGGATTCAATTTTTTCAGTGGCATTTACAAAAACTCACACTAAATAGAGGAGCTTAATAAAAGAGCTTACTGTAATGTCATGCTTTGTACATGTGTCAAACTTTTTTTTTTTTAATGTTGCCATAACTAAATTATCAGACATCTCCAAAGGGGATACACACACATATTTTTTTTTTTTTTTTTTTTTTTTTTTTCAACAAGTCGGCCGTCTCCCACCGAGGCAGGGTGACCCAAAAAGAAAGAAATCCCCAAAATGAATAATACTTTCCATCATCATATCAACTTTTCACACAACTCCACTTATCACTGTTTTGCAGAGGTGCTCAGAATACAACAGTCTAGAAGCATACACATATAAAGATACACAACATATCCCTCCAAACTGCCAATATCCCAAACCCCTCCTTTAAAGTGCAGGCATTGTACTTCCCATTTCCAGGACTCAAAAACACATTCACAAGTATAAATATGTACACCTACATAAATAAATGCATATATGCATTTGTATCCATATGCATGCATGCATATACACAAGTATACATCTGTATACAAATAGTTGAATACATATTTACACAAGCATACATATGCATACTTATGTGCACAGACATAAGTCCTATACTGTATATATAAAACATGCATAACAACATAATCAGTTACTGTACATTATTATATTTGTGCATATATTCACATGTACATGTATATTTATATATTTTGCTGCATTAGAATTTATGACTGTCCTGGACTATTCTTTTTGTAGTCGTGGAAGTAAAGGGAGAGGTGGGATACAGGGATACCTTTCTCCGATCATGTAGCAATCGAAAAATGTCTAGTGTCATGTGCTTTCTTCCCAACGAATATATTGATAAGCAATGCTTGTTTTTAAAGATTTTATCCACGTAATTTACTTTTTAGTCTCAGTTTTCAATCCCAAAGCCGAGAAATTGTCTGGTCGTGTGTTGCTAGTCATGCCAAGTTATCAAAGATTGGATAAAGGAAGACGACTGCTACCTGGCAGATATTCGGCTATTATAGTGTGAATTGTACAATATTAACTTTATTTTGCAGTGGAGAGATTTTGTAGTGAATATGGTAAAAAAAGTAACCTAACGAAAACCACTAAATCTATAATAACATAACGTTACT